AGATGTGTATAAGAGACCTTTATAGCCTCAAGGAAGAGGTTCAGTATAAATGCCTATACCAGTACCAAAGTATTCAGAGTTACGCATTTAATAGTACAGTTCCACAAGTTCATTAAAAATCATTTGCCTCCTACCAAGTACAGTTACAATTCGTGTGGCACCAGGATTTGCCCGAAATTAGGGGGGGGGGGGTGGCGCTAATGTCCCCTACAAGGGAGCCGATTTCCCTGACAACAGCATCCGTGGGCGTGGCCAACATCGTTCAGAATCCCCTGGAAGCTATGAAATTATGGGATTTGAAAGGCTTAGTTAATAAATATTTACATATGTAAAAAATACAAAGCATTAACTGCTGCAACGCACTTTTACAAGGCTTTCATATTCCTCAAGATGAAATTATCTGAGTTTTTCCAAGTGCCTTTTAATTACCATATCAATATCATAAAAATATTTTATGTTTAAAGGGTGCACTTTTCCATACTTATTATAAAACATATTCTTTAATTAAAACATCTCTATTCAAAATGCGGTAAAGGCAGGGGCGCTGTTAACTACAGCCTTAACATCGGCACTGGTTTGAGCCGCTCCTCGTCTAGGGTTCGGTTGGTAGAACCAAGCCTTCATGGACAAGGACTTAAAAGTGGAGGTCCTGTGTACACATTTGAGGCTTGCCATTCCAAAACCATCATACTGTCGATAATCTTAAAACTGACATAAGACATAAGATCACTTTACTCGTCATGAATTTAAAATATAAATCTCATGGAAACTGAGTAATTAGCACAAGAATGTGGCAGTGCTATATGACCCATCGTTTGAAAGCTTACAATGTGGAGAATAAGAATTTATTAAAAAGTCAATTTTCATTTTTTTTGGTCACTGATGCCGGTTTTTGGGGTGTCAAGCCTCATTTGGTTTATATGCAGTTTAAAGAACCCATTGTATTTTTCGTTAGAGTAGGGTTACCCCGATGCTATGGTTCATTTCAGCCCCTGTCATCATGAAATGATGTGAACAAGGTACTACAGGTATAAGCACCCATTTACGTCGACTAGGTAGCATAGGCTTATTCAGCAAGCCGTCCGGCCGTCTTTTGGACGGCCTACAATTATTTAGGACAGTCACTTTTACCATGACGGCTTGGATGGCTTGTCCTAATCACCTCGGCCTAGCCTAATTGGGCCTGCTATACCTTTAGCAAATTCTTTATATTCTTCAAATCTATCAAATGTTACATTAAACTAAAGCTAAATTATATTTACGTTTGATAAAAACAACATTTATTCATTGAATGTACGTTGTTTTTGCACCAATATTCGGTAGGGATTCCCAATGATGGACGTGGCCCGCCCACTGGCTTCTAATTTGGACGGCCTGTTTCGTTTTTTCTGGCTAAACCCCTGCTTGGTAGTCGCCACACCAGTACGCAATTCAGCACAATGACGCTGCAAGTTATGGGTTATTTTCCTAGCTTTACCTTTATCCTATCTTTAAATATAAAAACCTGCTACTAAGCACAAGCTCGGTGGTCTAGTGGTTATAACACCAGGCTAGTTATCTGGAGGTCATGAGTTCGATCGATCACCACCCGAATCATTTGTGAGTATTCAGTACAATAACACTTCAGGTAAGGCAACCATCACTCTAATAATATTAATCAATCAATCATTTGAAATGTTGTTAAGGTTATTTCTTTGTATAAATTTTTCATGACATACAGTCTGGTACAACCACATATATTTAATTATTAATACTTAGTGCGTTACAAGCTTGATCATAATACAAGCTTCAATGTTATTTAATTGTATCCATGGTGAAAGTATATACAATTACAATATTAATATTCAATAAATTGAGAATTCAATGTAAGAACAAAAAGCCGATGTTCAGATTAATTATTAAACCTATTTACAATGTTGCTTCCTTATTCAACACGGGCCTGTTTACAATGTTGCTTCCTATACTGTATTTAAATGCAAGTTTAATCTGTCCCACCAATGATCACATCACAGAGAAGTTGGCACTGGTTTACTGAGGTGGTTAGAGATGAAGTAATCTTTAGGGAAGAAGGAAATTACTGTACCGTACGAGCGCTAGTCCTTTGAGACAAAAAAAATTTATAAATCTGAACTACTGTACAACCACTGCTTTCAATCCACCTTTGTTCCCTATTTTCAATTTCATCCATGCTCTACTTAATGTTTTATCTGAAGGGCTGAAATGCAAGTATCCAGCAAACCCAACCTTTGTCCCTATAGTACTTGTACGTATGATTAAATATCGGAAGACAACTGCTTTACACTTGGTTTATACACTTACCTTTGTTTTTGAGGACTTTTCTGTGAAGTACTTGCTATAATCTTCCGTAGCCTCTGGAAGATCCTTTGATAGTTTGATCTTCTTAGCAGCAGGCTCGCTACTTTTAGGGCTCACCACCTTTTCTTCAATGCTGCAACAAATAAATTTAAATTATTATATAATATATTATATATTACTGTATTATTTCAATACATTAAAACTATTAGGCACAAATAACATAATTAAATGTTTTTTTTAACAAATACGTAAAATTAATTGGAATTATTGTACTACTGTAATTATTAGATTTTGAGTTTATTATGATATTATTAATTTGTGTAAAATTTAATAGTGTAAACTTTTTGTTTTTGATTAAAGTTTGTCAAATTTTATGTATAATTAGCATATTGTTTAAAAAAACAAATTTATTAGGGACGTGTAAATTTAAGGTTACATTGTAATAATTCAAATTCAATTCTAATTTGTGGTTCATTTAGATTTTTGTTGTGTTTTAGGCAAGAGAATAAAAATAAGATGATGCTGGCTCAGACTTAATCATGACGTCACCTTGCGAGAGAAGGAGCATGGCTTAACGAGGGAGATATTTATACAAGCCTGTTGGTACTCAGTGATCTTAGCATAACATTTATTAGGTGCCGACATCCATTAAGGGTTTGCAAAATGAGATGTAACAATTAATGGCTGCCAATAAGAAATCTAATGAGATTGAGAAGATGGCTTAAAATAAAATTGATGACTTCATTATACTGTGGAGCGTGTGCATCCTTAAAGGGGTTTAATTCCAAAACAGACAGTTATGTAAATCAAAAAATTATGGCCGAGTCTTCTCGGTTTAATATTCAGTAGCATTTTGACATAAATTTTGTGTCATCTTTCTTCATTCCTTGTTTCGCTTACTTATTTTTTTAAAGATAACCGAAAGAGGGTGGAATACAAATAAAAATTAAATTTTGTTTTTTTATTTAGCAAATAGTAAAACATCCAGACAGAGGAGAAAATAAAAATAAAATTGTATTGGTGAATGTAAAGTTGGATGGTTAAATGCTTCAAATTTATATAATTAGGAAGAAATATACATATTTTACCTTTGGAGATTTCAAGGATGCGAAGGGCGTAATAAATATAAACAAAAACTTTTTTATCTTTTTTTATGAAATTCTCCTTTTTTTTTGTGGCGCCGGGTGCACTAATTGGCCGAAAATAAAATTTTATTTTTATTTGAAATCATCAATATTTGCATTCAGCAGGTTCGCTATACAAGGTATAAAAAAATTCTCGCCTTGTCAAATGTTACTTTTTATATTTTTATTTGTGTTAAATGTTAAACAATTTTTTAAGTTTTAATTTTTATAGAGAATATTAATGTATATTGTAAATCATATGCAATTAAGTGTTAATTTCACTGCTATTTGTGATTGAAATAAAATAAAATATAAAATGAAAGTAAACTAGATTTGAACTCGTCACTGAGGATGAGTCGGGTGATCCGCCGCACTTTGACCCACGAGGAAGTGGGCGCGGTGCGGATTGAGCAATATTTAAATGCTGATAATGGCAAAATTAGCTAATTTAGTTTGTTAAAAAAGAATTTGGAACATTTTAAAAGATTTACTCATGCGTACACGCACGTCATGACGCACATGCGCATCTTAATGTCACTGTTGTGTCTTGATATAAGATTATATGTATCAACTTTCATTGACTGCAGATGGCAATATGGTGATGTCACAATGTCCGATCAGTTATTATGATATATAAAATCATATCTACAACTCATGTGCTTTTAGAATGTAATAAAAATTGGGGGTCACCTTTCATCCTAAGGAGCTATAACTGATTTAAAAAAGGCATGATATTAAGCACGTTAAGACGTGCGTACAGGAAATTAAGGTACATCACATTTAACCATGACCTGAAATTTATGCCCACTAAATATCATTCAGAAATCACGACTGGTTAAGGTGATTATGGGGGGTCATTAAACGTTTGAGGAAAGGAAGATGAGGGGGTCATCAAAAACCATTATTTTGACCATGATGACGTCATCAAAATGTAAAAAGAAGTCACATAACGAAAGAGAATTGCCTCAGCTATAACATACTCAAAGTTGGAAGACGATCGACCAAGAATAAGCGAGATACGCTCAAATGCACATTTTTAAAAATGACGTCATCGATAAAATTCAGTTTGTTGAATTCAGATGGCAATATGATGATGTCACAATGTCCGATCGGCCATTATGAGCTAGAAAATCACATTTACAACTCAAAGACTAAAGAGCAGTATGTTTAAAATCAGGCCTGATTTTAGTAAAATTTCACTGTATATCAGCACAAATGCGCACAAAGTTCACTATGTTTGATGTGTGCGTACGGCATTGTTATTGGCCATAAGGTGATTGAAAGGATCGGAAACTTGTAAAAACAATGTGAGGAACCCAAAATGTGACAAAAAAACTTAATTTCTAGCTTCCGTACGTGCTGCGCACGCGTAGTGGTAAATTTCGAAAAATTTTGAAATGCTCGAAATGGCGTGTAACGTGCTCTAATTTAGTCAAAAAGTGATTTCGAGCATTTTGAAATTTTGACGCATGCGTACGCACGCGTTACGAAGCACACGCGTAAAATTAGGGTACATTTAACATTGACCTGAAGTTAATGCTCACTTAATATGATTTCAAAATAGCAAATGGTTAGACTGATATGATCGATAATGTAAAAACGCAAAATTGCGCGTAGCTGACGTCACGCATGACTGGTCACCTTGAAAACCTTACCGCGACTATTCCAGGCAAGTCAAAATGATCGTTGAAGCGACCGTGTGCGTAACTTGTGGCAATTTTGAGATATCGTGCGAACAGAAATGGAAGGAAATGTAGAATAAAAAAAAAAAGATGAAGATCTCTGACAATAACAAGAGGTGATCCACTCGAGAAGCGGATCACCAATAATAATAATAATAATATTTATAATGATAAAATTTATTCGGCAAAGTAAGAGCACAATCTTGCAAGGAGCAAGGAATAGGCACAAGCTCAAACTGCCCTTACTCCATCATCAAAACACACAGTAAAGGCAAAAGAGAAACATAAAAAAGTAAAACTGATTCAATAATAATCAAATGTAATATTCATTCTACATACTACTATATCTGTCTCTTATACACATCTCTAATTGGCTGAAAATAAAATTTTATTTTTATTTGAAATCATCAATATTTGCATTCAGCGGGTTTGCTGTACAAGGTATAAAAAAAGTCTCGCCCAATCATTTAAAGGAATGAAACACTGTAGTGCTAAATTATGTGCACGACCAACTATAGGTTGCTTCCCTGAGATTTTGGAGGGGGATATACGGTAGATATTGGTGGTGCTACCAAGGTGTCAGGGGAAATCCCCACCTTTCCAGGCGGGGGGGGGGGCGGAATGTGCCGAATGTGCCCCAGTTCACCCTTACTGGATCCGCCCCTGCTTCCCCTCCCTTCCTCCCACTGTCAGACAACACCATGATGAGTTCATCTGACAAAAATAATTCACCGATCTAAAATTAATTGATAATCCACCAGAGATTTTATTCTGAAAACATGAGCAAGGCTCTAAGCATACCTCATGGTTGGTTCAGATCCTCTTGGCAAATTTCTGCACCACCATTGTTTGCACTGTGTGTGTTCATTTCAGTAATCAGTGACCAATAAATAAGCAATTGGAGGAGGGTTTTTTTTAGATTCATCGGTTTCTGATCCAGGAATTTGAAATATGGGGCCCAGGGAGAGACCTTTATCTGTCTCTTATACACATCTAGATGTGTATAAGAGACAGCTGTAGGCCATCTTGAGAGCACTTGTAGCTATTTATTGGTGAGAATACCTTGGAACATGTGAATATAGCATTTATCAGTTCAAGTCAAGTGTTTTGTTTTGATCGGTACAGTAGTATGTGGCTCAAGTTCCATCTTGTTTCAAAAATATAGATTAAATCGTTCGATATATGCATAGTAATCTGTTGTTTTTTAAAAATTAAATCAACTCATAGGAGTTTTGTAGAATTGCTTAATTGTAATTTTAACCAAATATCCTGTCTGGTCCATTTAATGTTAGTATCGTAGCACAAAAAGGGAATTTTTGGTTTCCTAACCAAGTAGGCCTAAGGCAAGACTTGTTTTATTCCTTGTTTCACATACTTATTTTTCTAAAGATCATCGGAGGAGGGCAGAATAAAAATAAAATTTTGCTTTGTTACTGTATTTAGCAAATAGTTTTGCCAAAAACATCCTGATGGATTAGAAAATAAAAAATAATATTTTATTGGTGAATGTAAAATGGAATGGTTAAATCCTTCAAATTTATATAATTAGGAAGAAATATACATATTTTATCTTTGGAGATTTCAAGGCATCGGAGGGCGTAATAAAAAAAAATTTTTTTTTTTTCTGAAATTTCCAAACCCCCTGTTGGTTGGTAATGCCACACGAATTTTGCCTTTACAGTATACGAACTATCGGTCTGATAGTGTCGAAATACTGTCTGCCGCCCTCTATTTTCAATGTGTTTACATCTTTTAAGAATGAAAGATGAGAAGGCTCCAAAAAAAGCTTTTTTTTTGACCATGATGACGTCATCAAAATGTAAAAAGAAGTCACATAACGAAAGAGAATTGCCTCAGCTATAACATACTCAAAGTTGGAAGACGATTGACCAAGAATAAGCGAGATACGCTCAAATGCGCATTTTTAAAAATGACGTCATCAATAAAATTCAGTTTGTTGAATTCAGATGGCAATATGATGACATCACAACGTCCGATCGGCCATTATGAGCTAGAAAATCACATTTACAACTATATGTAATAAAAATTGGGGGTCACCTTTCATCATAAAGAGCAGTAAGTTTAATATCAGGCCTGATTTTAGTAAAATTTCACTGTATATCAGCACAAATGCGCACAAAGTTTGATGCGTGCGTACGGCATTGTTATTGGCCATAAGGTGATTGAAAGGAGCGGAAATTTGTAAAAACAATGTCAGGAACCCAAAATGTGACAAAAAAACTTTCTAGCTTCCGTACATGCTGCGCGCACGTATTGGTAAATTTCAAAAAATTTTGAAATGCTCAAAATGGCGTGTAACATGCTCT